AAATATGAAAAAATCTTCTATATTTAACGAAACGATACATAGTTTTCCATAGAACGCATCAAATCTTTCAGAAATGAATAAAATTATGCCAGATTTCGTTATGAAAAATGGAAAATCTTTGATTAGTTTTTGGAGCTACAAAATATTCCATTGTAAAATGTATGGAACTATAAAATCGGCATGGAAAATGACAAATACTTTTGTATGAAATCTACGGAACTATTGATGCTTTCGCGGGGAGATAGTGAAACTAGTACATTGACTACAAAAAAAAGAACGATGACTCCAGCATACTACCAAATATTTTGAACCCATCGATGATGTAGTACATGATGTATGGAACCATGAAACGTTTAGTTCGCATTGTTCCAAATCAGAAATGAATTTGTGGAACTTATTAAAGCTTTCATTCAAAAATAGTGAAACTATATGAGTTGAGAGAAACCTAAAATTAATCTGACGAACGCTACGCAACGTTTTATTGTATTCAACCTTTGTATTCCTTGAAGAAAAACTTCGAAACATCTAGAGATTCAGTAATGTATCCAATTTCTTTTTATAATGTAGGTAACATGTTACTTTCATTTAAACTTGACAAAAAAAATTTGATTACTTCAATCAATTAAGAGTTATTAAGATTTCTCTGATTGAAAATCTTATTTTGAGTGAAATCATATATAAATTGTAACACTCAGTTTACCCTTGAATCTCCAAAACTAATGGTGTACTCATAGCACTTATTTAAAAATTTTCAAAAACACACAACAGATGGCGTTATCTAGAGTCACAGATTGCACTGAAACTAGATGGAAAAGTTTATTCAAAGTTGATACAACTAGAGATCAGCGTGCCCCAAAGGAAAAGAGAAATTTTCGAAAACTTCTCAGTCAACAGTGTCATATAATAGTAAGCTTGGATGCATCTTTATTCATTTAAAATTCGATTTCGATTACTGTCTGAAAGATAACATCTTTTTACGTTGAAGATGTGGATAAGACTAAGGAGAAGTTTTGCCAATGAGTCAAATATTTGTCAATTGGATTATTTTATGAAAAAATTCATTAATCAATTTCTCCTGAAAAATTGAGTTAAAAACAATTCCTAGGCCTCTATCACATAGTTTGACGAAAATATAACTATTAGAACAGAGAGATTGCCTCAAAAATTAGAAAAAAAGAAAATAATTTGTTTCATTATTTTCTTCGTATTTCCTTTAATAATTTTGTCTGTTCAGGTCGAAGATGTCTCATTCAAAGTAGATGATCAAAATGAGCAATAACTCTTATCCAAGTCTTTTTGAACGGTTAATCCTTAACTTAAAGAAATAGATCTTAGCAAAAATGCAATTTTTTTCACGTTTATCTTTATTATTGTAAACTATTTGAAGTAGAACAATTTTTTGAGAGTAAATTTTGATACACTGTTTCTGGAAGATCAAGTTTTTCTATATGAGAATCACTTAAAGGTTTCCAGAACAAAGTTATAGACCGAATCAATAAATAAGACGAAATATCATTCTGCGACATGAATTGGATCCCTTTTCACCCGATATATATATGGATGCATTGCAAAATTATTGTACCGTTTTGACAAAAAAAAAATTTCGATTCGAAAGCTGATAAGTTGTGTTTTTAACTGTACTATATAAGAAGAGAAAAAAGAATAAATTTTCCCGACTAGCACTATAAGCATGGCCGTGATATAAGAGAATCATTCAAAATCCATGAAAAATGCCTTAATATGACTGTATCACTGTTATATCAAAAAATTACTAAAATACGAAAGTTTTGCTGAAGACGTTGAAAATACTTCAGTTTATATAACAACAATTGTTTATATCACTCGAAATATGGTCGAGAGTTATGTGTTCGATAAAGCTCAATCACATAACTCTAATAGTCTTGTTTCTTATACATAATTATTGGTCTCTTTCTGTTAATCATGAGAAACAAATTAGAGGGTGCACGCACGAGTTTTGATAGTTACTTAAACACGAAATCAAGTAATATGTAATATATGTACTTTAGTCTTGGTTGTGAAATAGTTATATGCATAAAAATTTCACTTGACAGTTTTTCAAAAACTCTCCTATGACATATTAACACTATTTTTTTCTCTTTTGTGCGAAAGATAAATTTTCTGACCTCGATATTTTCAAGAATACTTGATCACAACTAAAGCCCCCCCCCCCCCCCAAAATAGACGGCCACCCTATATTAGAAGGCCACCCCCTATATAAGGCCATGTCCGAGCAAAAGTTCAAAAGCTCTATTAGAAGACCATTTACTAATTAATTAATATATTCCAAAATTATCGAAGTTTTTATAAATATTAATTAATAATTAAGGAAATATAACCGATTTTCTAATTTTTTTTTGCGAAATCCTTCCTTTCCTATCATAAATAGTACAATTTTTACAAAAGATGGTAGTTTTTTCAGCAAAAATCACCTAAATAGCAATAATTAAAGTTATTAATTAATTATTCATTTTGTAAATAATTTTAATTAAAAACTGGCCAAAAATTGACCCCCAATAGAAGGCCATCCAAAACGTAGCGATGTGCCAAGACACTGTATAAGGGCATGCCCTTTTATTCTGGGAGGGGGTTTAGTAGATAAAATGATAAAAATTTCACCTCAATTTACGTTAATTTAAGAGAGTTATACACCAAACAAAATATTTATGTCTCGTATGACGTTTAATGGGACTATTGAATTTTCAATTTTTATTTTATATCGTTTTATTAACAAGAAACAGGACAACTTTTCAGTTCTCTTTGTCAGTTTTATTTCCTACTAATTGACTTTCGTTCAACATCTGCCCAATCAATTTCTAATGTGTTGTTGAATGGTAAGGTTGTTTTTAAATCTCGTATGACACAAAACTAAGAATTGATGGGTACACTTGATATTCAAGAAAAAAGTGTAATCAGAACCATGATGGAAGAGCCAACCGGTCTCATATCTGAAACATATAGACTATCTACTATAAATATTGGAAACTTTCAAATTCAAATCATAAGAGAATTAATTGGTCATATGACATTTTTGTTCATTACACGTCAATGAAAATCGAACTTTGGAATCTTGAGCATCCAATATTTCAGGCTCTGTGCGAAATAAATTTGTGATTTTTTTGTGTGGTAATGAGCACTAACTAGAGACGTCTAATCTGGAAAATCCATAAAGATTGGCTGAGAGGAATTGGAGTTATTAAACTTTTACATCTTGGGAATACAACAGTACAATAATTTTGCAATTCATTCATATATATATATATTGGGTTTCCATTACGGAAATGATGATTGAAGAAAATTCTTACAAATTAATATCATCTTTCGAACTAGAATCAAAAGATGAATCAGTATTGAATGTAGAATGTGAGTAGTTCTCTCTACACTTTCACATCTTCACTTTTCTATTCGTACTCTATTTGAATTCAATAAAGAAAGAATGAATTTATTAATAGAGGAAGGATTATTTATATTACTCATGAAGTATGTGTCTTATTACAATATAGCTTCATATTTATTAGTTATTTGGTATTGCCGACTTGGATACACACAGTCACTTTCATTAAAAATATATCGAATAGGCATTAGTTTACTCGTTACATATGATAGGAAAACCGATTCTTAAAGTTTGCTATGTAGTATTTAAGTATCTAACTCGCTATTTTTGGACTACCTAAATACATGTGTCTTCGGATTCTAATAACAAATATTAGCGTTAGCATTAAATTAGTACTAATCTAATATCTCTATTTTCCGTATTCTCTTTTGTCATTTTTACTTTTCACGTTTTTCCTTCAAATTTCTGTTTAAATCATGCTTACCCGCACACTTTCCTTCGTAATAAAAAAAATTTTTTTTTTACTTTCGTATCTAAATATGCTGACAAAAGAATTTCAAACTCCTTCGATGATTGGTTAACATTCCATAAAGATTCGAAGAGAATTACTAGCATAATATCGTATACGCCTTCTGAAGTACCTTGTTTCGAACAAGTCTTTATACTTTTTTTTATTATCTTACGATTATATTATATTAGTTTCAATAAAAAACCATTGAAATAACTTCACTAAGTATACTGATAAGAATTCATGAAATTATAGTTACAAATACTATCGAAATCAAATGTAATAACTTGTATTAATCATTCATTTAATTAAAATCTTTTCCATAGTTTTGGCGATTATGATTAAGATCACGATTTTTTAAGAACTACACTATACATATATCATTCATGAAATATCCTTTCTATACAGTTTTCTTTCAACATTTTTCATATCTCTAAAAATCGTTGGTTTTTGAGTACAGATATGTGCACATCTGTGCCTTCAGAAATTTTGATAGATTGATTTATGAGTGTTTTCACAGCTATTAACGTATAATCGAAAAACAACATAGTATGGTCACAAACTTCATTACCGAATAAGCACTGTTTTTGATCATACTAGAAAAGTCAATACTCTCATTCTTAAGAGAATAAAATTTTCCACACAGTATAACTGTTGTTAGCATTTGCATAAAAAGTGTTTTATTCGATTTATTTTAGAACAAATTGCTTTCTCATTTTCTTATTTCTCTACAAATGCAAGGAGAAATTGTCTCATATATGCTGATAGAATTTTACTACTATTGAGTCTTTGATCATGTATCAGTAAAGTCAACTGCAGTGTGTAGCGGAAAACGTGAAAGACTCTTTGCCTTTTACTGTCTTTAATGATGTTCCAGGTCCAGATTGCTTTTCATAAGATTTAGAAAGATAACAAGAGCAGTCGATCCAAATTTCTTTCATATATATTTTAAGATATGCTTTAGGTCGTGCTCCATTAAACAGTAACTGTATGACTATATTATCTGATAAGTAGCTATACGCTCATCATTATCTTGAAAGTTATAGTATAAAATGTGAACTTTTTTTTTCAAAAAATTTTACGAAAATTGCATTAGAAAACTTCTTTAGGAAGTTTATATTACTCGAACATATTAAAAACCTAAGTCTTTTCAATACAGAGACGTTTAACATCAAAATTAATGAATTAAAAAGAAAAATACTCACTTCACCATTGATATGAATTTCACGTGGATCAAGTTCAATATTTGACTCCATACAAGAATCAAAAGACACAAGACCATTCACTATAAGACGAGTACGTAGGTTCATCATTGCAGAATTAGCAAATTCTTCAATTTCTTTATCAACTATTTTGTGTTCGCCAAAGACACGTGCACATATTCTAGCACCAATATCCTTGATAAAAGAAGGATTTTTAAAAAGAGCAACTGCACGAGATGAAATATCTTCAAGAAATTTGTACGAATTTTCTCGATGAATAGTAACAAGTTCCATGGAATGCTTCAAAAATAATAACAATTAAGTCAAACTTTAGTATCATAGAATCAATTTAAAGTTCTCTTACTTCGATAATACGTTTTGAAATCGTCAAACAATAAATGTATATATGTTGAAGAAAAATTAATCTAATAAAACATCTAGAACTATATAAAAAATATGAAAGTAAAATACACTGATTGAAATTATTTTATACAAGAATCTATTTAAAATTGAATTTCTGGTACATATGTGCAGAATAAGAACATCATCTATACTACAGATAGGGCGCCTCACGTCGAATGGAACGGCCTCGACACGCGTACAGTACGCTGAATCGGTACGCATGTCACCGTAATGCGGAATTCGCGTCTCTTTCAAACAAAAACAAAAAATTTAAATATATTGAAAGAGCCCGAACTGAGAAATCTTTGTCTCAAAATGGGCTATTTTTGATCCTTGTTTTGGTTCATATCTCTGTTAAATATCAGGGTATCGAACTGAAAACTTTACCATAGCCCCAACATATGCTCCAAGTTTCATACGATTTGAATGTGGTTAACTCGAAAATCGATTTTTGAGGGGTGAGGAGGGGGGGGGGGGAAGGGCCTTAAGACGAAATTTATTCCGAAAAAGAAGAAAAAAACTTTACAAAACAAAAAAATAATAAATTGAAAGAAAATTTTTAGTTCAAAAATATTGTAAATTATTATGAATAATCAATTTTTTTTATTTAAAATATCTAATCCTATCGAATTCATTTCGTTTTAATTAAAATAAAATTAAAGAATAAATATAAAATATATTTAATTTAATAAGAAATTTACATATTTTTTTTTAATTTCTTTCCAAGACAAAATAAAAGAAACTAATAAGAAGTTCTATCGTGATTTTATTGTCGATCCAATTATTCTATAAGAATTATTTCATTTTAATTTTTTTTTTCTATGGTTGATATAATTGGACTTTCATTTTTTTGAAAATCATAATTCTATTATGTGAATTATGTTTTAAATTCAGTCAGCAATCATATACATTATAAAATTCAATTAATATAAAATTCATAATAGAACGAATATTTCTAATAAATTCATTATACTTGAAAATGAATTAAAATAACTACATAAAGTAGAGATCTTTATTTATCTTAAATAAAACTGAAATTATTTGAATAGATTTTTTTATTCGACTTAAAAATAAATAAAATAATTTCATTTTTTTTTTTTACTTTCATCAAAAATCAAGCAATTAGATTATATTGTTTTAATTTAAATAAAATGTAATATAATAGAATAAAATCTAATCGGTTTGTAATCAAAAGCGAATCGAATACCTTTGTTAATTTAATTATTTAATTTTATTGTAAATTAATAAAATACATAAATTAACATTATTCTTGTATGACATAATTATATATAATTAAAGGAATCTTTTTCTAAACTAAACTAATTTTAATTCATTTAAAAAGATAATAGTATAATATATTCTATTTATTGAAATAAAATAAAAAAATTATATTATAAACCTATTTAAAAAAAAAAACTTTGCCTTGATTAAATTAATTTAATTTAAATTTTTGTTGAAATACTAAATGAATAATCCCAAAAAAAATTCTTTTAAAGGTTTTAATGCAAAATAAAATTTATTTTTCTTTTATCTCGAAAAAGAAAAAATTTCTAAATATTTTCTTTTCTTAGTATTGAATTAAAATCAATTAAGAAAATATCGTATAATCTTTGCAGAAATGATTTTAAAATTAAAAAGAAAAAAATAATAGATCAAAATTTTAAAAATAGATAAAACTAATGACATTTCAAAATATTTACGGAAAAGAAGTTTAGTAATATTCAGTATTTAAAAAAAAAATCACAAAGAAATTTTTGGTATAAAAAAATACGAAATGTAAGACACTGGTGTAACGATAAAATGAGGAAGAGATGTTATGACAGACTGGAGGAGTAGCTAGCCGCTACTCGGCAATGATGTTTATTAGCTACTTCACATCTCCAGAATGTGTCTATTGCACATTCAACACACACTTATATATGATACAGAAACAAAGGAGAGAGATGACACCCAGAACAATGGGAGAGAGATGACACGCAGAGCAATGGGAGAGAGATGACACGCAGAGCAATGGGAGAGTGAAGGAAAGGAAAGAAGAGGAGCAGCGTACCGTGACGCATATATCGGCACAACTGGTATGATGTTAAGAACTCATGATGATTGAGTAATCTACATACAATCAACGCTACATATAAAAAAAAGCCATTGCATATAGTTGCACTCTTCCTCCATGATGATGACGAATAATTCATAAGATGTCTATAGTGGTTAGTGTCATATCTTATTCTTTCTGTAATATCATAAATCGTTTCATGAAATATAAGTTACATTTTAGATTGAAAAACTTTGTTCAAAGATACATAAAGGGAATCGATAATCTTTTTTATTTCACATATAAAGCAAAATTTACCATTGTTCGATATAATTCATCTATTCATGTATCATGAAAAAAAATTTGTATTCATAAAAAGAATTAAATATCATTGAATTATAAGACAAATTTTCATGTGTAAATCAAATCATTAAAAAATGAACTGACGGTCTGGCATCTTCCCATGTAAAAAAAAAATATGTAAAAAAAATCAACTTTAATAATCAATAAATCGATTCAAATTCGATTTTAGTCATACACCTTTAATCAATAGTTTAAGCCAGTAATATAATCAAAACAAAATCAGATGATAATCGATTATTTGCAAATATCATGATTATAATCCATTTTCTAAATTTTATCAAATTGATTATAATCATGGTATTTGAAATAATCGATTATCATCTGATTTTGTTTTGATTATATTACTGCTTAAACTATTGATTAAAGATGTATGATTAAAACCGATTTTTAATCGATTTTTTAATTTTTTTTTCACATGGGTTGTCTACAGATAGGTGTCATGATTCTTACGATTTAGCTTCAAACGTTGCCGAATAGAAATCACTTCTAACTTTCTTCTAATTACATTTAGTACTCTTTGGGAAGAACGAAACAGATATTGTACTATGAAAATAACAAGTAGATAAACATTTCCCATAGAGCCAATAATTCACTAAGTATAACTGTAAAGGAACTTATTTCAACGTAGGTGAAGTTAGCACCAGATTCAAGTAAATCCAGCCAAGATTCGCCCAGCAACATGTTCCAACTGTCACAGGGTGTGTTCCAAGTACAACTCGATGAGCTCTATCGAATGGTGTATTCCAATTCACGATAGCTCAAACCAAGCCCAAGAAAATCAGAAAATACTAGATTTTCACCATGGGCGATTTTGCATCCATCTACTAAAACCTGCAAAGATTCGCCCAGGAGCATGTTCCAAGTGTTCCATTGGTGTTACAAGAACAACTTGACGCGCTCTATCGAATGGCGTGTTCAGATTTTCCATAACTCAAACTGAGTCTGAGAAAATTTGGTAAAACTAGTGTATCACCACGAAAATCCTGGATTTTATGCAGTAAAA